GTAGACCATAAATGTATGAATTTATGATTTCTCTATTCTGTTTAATTTGTTTATGGCTGTCTGTATTTTGTTCGTCTGTCTCTCCCGTGTCCCCCTTTTTTTGAAAGTAACATACTGTTTTGATTACTACAAATTTGTAGTGTATTATGATGCCTCCAGCTTTTCTTTTTATTCCAGATTCTCTTGCCTATCTGAGGTATTTTGCATTTTCATGTGAATTTTAGGATTTTTTTTTTCTATGAAGAATGTCTTTTGTAATTTAACATGAATTGCATCAATTCTGTAGATCACATTGGGTGATAGATATTTTAACAATGTTCTTCTCGTGCACGGACATGGCATATCTTTCCATTTACTTGTGTCTGCTTTAACAATCTTTAATCTATATTTTATAGCTTTCACTGTGGGATCTTCTGCATTTTTGGTTAAGTTTATCCCTATGTATCATTTTTTGTAATGAAATAGCTTTCCTGATTTCTTTCTTGGGTATTTCACTATTGGTGCTTGGGTGTGCCACTCGTTTTTGTATATTGGTATTGTATCTTGCAACTTTACTATATTTATTAGTAGTAGTAGGTTTTTTGTGTAATCTTTAGGGTTCTGTATATGATCATGTCACCTCCTGTTAACCTGAGGCCTGGACACCCACTTGGAATCTGGAGTTCCACTGGGCTTATTTGTCTACCTGGGACCTGACATACACCAAGATGCCTGATGTCCATCTGGTACTTGGTTTCCTCCTGGGGCCTGATATGTACCTGGGGCCTTGTATTTACCTGAGGGCTATGCATTCACCTGCGGCCTGATATTTAGCTGGGCCCTGGTGTCCACCTGGGACCTGTGTGCCAAACTGTGACCTGATGTCCACCTGGGATCTGATATCTATTCAGGGACTAGAGTCCCCCTGGGACCTGGTATCAACTTGGTATGTGAAGTTAGGTGTCTACTTGTGGCCTAATGTTTTTCTGGGGCCTCAGTGTCCACTATGACTTTATGTCTACCAGGAGGGAGTGTGTCCCTATGCACTCTCCCTCTCCTGTGGAGAATGGGTGCAGAGCTGCCCTGGCCCCACCTCTCATCATTCAGGAATTCACTCTTTTGCACACACAGTGAGGAAGGCGGTGCCTGGGTAAGTCACCTCTGCTTTTCTGCCCATGGTGTGAAGATCTCAGGCAGGTGCTAGACTTGGGGCCTTGTAGCCATGCCCTGGGAAAGGACTGGTTCCTGAGAGGGACAGTGCTACACTGCGCATTGCCAGGAACCCATGTGAGCACACAGGGTGGCTCCTCAAGGGTGCCAGGATCCCGGGTCCGTCCACTCGGGTCATTACTGGCCACATACTGGAGCTGAGGGAGGGGGCCAGGCTGAGGCCACAGGCTCTCCAAGAAAGCCACAGAGCCAGCCAGTGGCACCCAGGGACTGCAGGAAGCTTCTCCAAGGTAAGCTCCGGACCTGCATTGGTTTCAATATCTTTTCCCAGTATGAATTACGACAAGGTGGGTAGGACACATTCCAGTTGGCGTTAGCAGTTTGTAGGCTTTTAAGCTGTCTTGGAGAAAACCACAGTTGAAAATCTAGGCAGGGCTTGATTCAGCCTGTCATTTCATTTCGCAGTGTGGTTTCTAATGTTTCTTGGGAAACCAGGCCTGGGTTAGTTATTTCACGTCACCCTTTCTTACGTGGACGTCTTGGTATGCACAGTTGCCTTTTTCTCTTTTCTTATATTGCAATCTCAGGTCCCACATTTCCATTCTTCCCGTCTAATCTGTGTGTCCTCCATGCAAGCTTGTGGTCAATCTTGCCCTGGGACTAGTTGAGCAGCTTTGCACTCATGATGGATGTTGAAGTTTCATGATTGTTTCTTGTGTATATATTTGGCCTTTTATTATGAGTTCCTTGATTTCAGAATGATTGAGAAGTGTAGTTTTCAGTTTCCCAAATACATATTTTCTGGGGAGATGACTTTATTGTGTTTGACCAGAGAATATGTGACCTCTCAGTTGTTAAGGACTGGTGTGTACACCTGAGGGCTTGGTATCCACTGGGGGTTGGGTGTCCATGTGAAACCTGATGTACCTCTGGACCTGGTTGCCCACATGGGTCCTGGTGTCCACCTGGAGCCTGATGCTCCCCAGGGGTTTGGGTATCTACTTGGTTTCTGATGTTCATCTAGGACTGGTATTCACCTAGGGCCTGATAGTCATCTGGGACTGGATATGTACCTGGGGCCTCATGTCCAGCTGTGGTACAGGTAGCTATCTGGGGCCTGTGTGTCAGCCAGTGCCTGATGTCCACCTATGGATTAGATACCCACCTGGGGTTTGGTGTTTAGCCAGAACCTGATGTCCATCTGGGGGCCTAGATTCTCTACCTGAGCACTGGTGTCTGGATGGAGTCTTACAGCTACCTGGGCTGTGGTATCCTCCTGAAGTGTCGCTGTGAACCTGGAAACTGTAGAGTCCAGTGTCCACCTGGAGCCTAATGTGACCTGGGGTCCTATTTAAACCTGGGGCTGCGTGTTTGGGTGGGGCCCAGGCGACTACCCAAGGGTTGATCTCAGCTGGGACCTGATGTTTTCTTAGCACCTTGTGTCCACCTGTCAACTTGGGACAGGATATCCAACTGAGGCCTGAGTGTTTCCTGGTGCCTGAGGACTTTCTGGGACCCCGTTTCCACATGAGACCTGATGTCTGGACCTCTGAGGCCTTGGTGTTTACTTGGACCTAGATGTCCATCTGGGGCTTGGTGCACCAGGGGTGTAGGTATCCATATGGTCCCTGGTGTCCATCCAGGGCCTGATGTCCATTTAGTGTCACAAGTCCACCTGAAGTCTCATGTTTACCAGGGGACATGATGTTCATCAGGGGCCTTGTTTTGACCTGATACCTGGGCATTTGTTGATGTCCACCTAGAGTTTAATATCCACCTGGGGCCTGATGAAAACCTGGAGCCTGATGGAAACATGGGGCCTGGTAGTTGTATGTCCCTCTATTCTCCTCTTCATGGAGGCACACGAGTCATTGATTTGGGACCCATGCTAAATCCAGGATGACCTCGTCTCAAGATCATTAACTTAATTATATCTGCAAAGACCCTATTTCCAAAGAAGGTCACATTCTGAGGTTCTGGATGGAAATGAATTTTGGGGGTTGGTACTGTTTCACCCAGTACAGAGCCTCCCTGTGTGCTGAGTACCCTTCGATACTTGCAAGCCCACGATGGCCACAGAGCTTCAAGAAGGAAGGCTTCCTGGAGGAGGTGGCCTGGCTCACCATAGAAGCAACACCTCTTCCCCTTGGGTTCTGGGGCCAACACTTTTTATGATGAGTCCTTTTTGGCCATGTTGATACCAGCTGAGACCCTGCTGCCTGCCCAACTCCATGTCAGGCCTGGGACAAGGGCGAGACAGGCCTAGTGCCAGCTTTAAGACGTGGAGCAAGGAGTGGAGCAAGGGAGGCCGGTGTGGGCTGAACAGTGGGCACCGCACCAGGGACACGTATCTGATGCCTGTGAGAGTGATCTCTTGGAACTACCGCACAAGGGGACAGATGAGGGAACCCCAACACGGGACAGCTGAGGGTGATCCCAACACAGAGGGGAGCAGCTATGTCCAGGCTCCACTGGACTCTGGTGAAGACAGAGCACAGCACTGACTCTAGGGTGCGGGATTACTGACCTGCACAAGATTAGGACAGGCTGGGTTTGGGAGAGGGCCATGCTCTAGCTGGGGCACATCCACCTGCTCCCTTCAGATGGCAGAGCCTGGCCCTCTCTATCCCCACCCTGACCTGGTAGTAACAGCCATGGGCCAGCAGCCCCTCCCTCCCTGAACTGCAGGGGATGGGAAGTACCACAATCTCTTCCAGGTGAGAGCTGCCAGAGATTACTTTTTCCTTGTGCCAGAAGCCCAGGGTGGCTGGGGTGTGGGCCAAGTGTGGGAAGAGGGCCCTGAGACAACCTAGGGTGGGCATCCACCTTCCTGTCCACTGTGGTGGCCTGAATCAGCCCCAACCACTCTCCCTGTCCCTAGGAGCCCAGGGACTGGGGTTTGGGGCTTCCTAGAGCAAACCACACCTGATCTACACCATGGATAGCAGCTCAAGGCCAGGCCAACAGGGACTCCACAGAGGGGCCTGTGGGTTAGCAGCAGTTGCCAGTGCCCAGATGGCCTCAGGGGTGGGGGTGGGCAATCTGGAGGTCAGCAGGGAATTCAGCATGAGGAGGTCTGGCCCAGCAACCCCAGGGTCTGGTGCTGCACTGTCATGAAGCCTGGGGGGCTAGGGCCCTCAGTCTCTCTCTGGCTGGGGAGTCACTCCCATTACTGCTGTCATTGGCCTCCCCTGCATCAACCTGGCCCTGGGGTGGGAGCACAGTGGGTGCAGGGACCCCAGGCCTGTTTTCCCTGCTATAAAATGCACGTGATGGTGAGGCTGTCATGAGGCCTAAAGGAGTTCACACCTGCCATGTGCTCAGGATGGCGCCCAGCTCGGCGCCCCCCAGCCTGGTGCCACCAGCCTTCTCCCAGGCCCCCTTCGCTGGCAGCCCCCACACTCAGCTCTCCATCAGCCAACCCCTCCAGGGTGCAACAAGGAGGCCCTGAGCCTGTCCTTAGGGGTATGTGAGCTGCAGCTGGGGCCTGGAGGTGCAGGGGGAGGAGTTGGGGAGATGCAGAGGTCCCAAAGATGTCCCAAGGCCCAAAGACCCTGGTGAAGGAAGAGAGGAGGCAGCACTGGGGGAGCGGAGAGCGGGAGCTGGATAGCCTGGCCCTGGGCTGGACACACGGTCTGCGACCACACCTGAGCTGTGCTGTGGAGCCCTAGTTGCCACCTGGGCACGTCCTGTCCTCTGAGGCACAGGGACTCCTGGTCCTCGGCTCTGATCCCTCATCTCCCACAGTTGGGATGATGAGTCCATAGGCAGAGCCAGCCTCACAGGGGACTCAAAAGCCAGCTCAGATGGGCAGCAACTGGAGACCCCACCAGGCACACACACTCAGTGCAGAAAGCTAACATGCTGTTTATTTGGGGGATGGGGGGAAGTGCTGTGCCAGCTGCTCACTGGTAGCCAGCCAGCTGCAGGATGGTGGGGTAGCGGGTGCGATGGGCCATGCACTTCTGGCGGTCGATGAAGAGGCTGTTGGTCATGGAGGTGATGTCCTTCTCCAGGCTCATGCGGGTGTCCTCCAGGTTGCGCAGGGACTGCTCCGCTTCTAGAAGCTTCTCCCGCAGCGCTGCAAGGGACATGTTCAGCTCCTCTACCTCGCTCATCAACCTGGGGGTGTTGAGGGATGTGAGCCAGGGCTGGGGAGGGCAGAAGTGTGCACCTTCCTGGCAGTGGGGGACCCCAAAACTCACAGGCCCCAACTGGAGCGGGCAGGAGGTCCTGGTAAGACTCACAAAAGAACTCCTAAGGGAACCCCACCAGGAAAGTGGCCTCTCAGCCCACCAGGCTCAGTTCTTGCCATTCCTTATGTCTGAGGGAGGCCCCCAGTTCCTGGAAGGAACTGAGAGGCAGGGAAGGAAGAAAGGTTCTTATGCTCAGGAGGGGCCACTGAGCACCTGTTAACCAGGGAAACAGAAGGATGAGCCTCTGCTTCTAGAGCCCAGGCATGGGTCATGCTTTCCACTAGAGGTGTGGACAGCACCCTCAGAGCAGCAGGGAATGGCTCTGCCTGGTCTCTCTGGCCCTGTGGCCTTTGGGAGTTCATCTTGTTGAAGGAGCTTCTTTTCAGGAAGATGAGGCAGCACAGGGTGGGTGAGAGCACATGGGCACAGGTCCGTGGTCCCTGGCACTGGGAGCCCCCACCCATGACCTGCCCAGTGTTGTGTCTGTGCCTGTGTATGTAAGGCATGCTTGTGTGTGGCCCCAAGGTCTCCCTCCCCTCTCAATACCTGCAGGGGATGTGTGTGTGTGGGGGGGCGCATTGCGGTGTTCATAGGAGCCCAAGATCAGAGAGGCAGGGAGGAGGTGGAGGGGCCACCTGGGGCTGCCCCAGAGACCCAGGCAGCACCTGAACTGGCCGGCGTCGCGGCACAGCTCCATGTTGGGCCGGTGCGAGCGCAGGTACAGCCGGGTCTGGGCGACTCGCAGAGGTGCCTCCTTGTCCTTGATGGCCTGCTTCAGCGCTGCCACGTTGTGTTCCTGGTCTGTGACTTCCCGCAGCGTCTGCAGACAGGACAGTGGCCCTTGGGCCTGCGCCCCCATGCCCTGGCATATGGAACACCCCAGACCAGCCCTGTCCTACCCAGGCCCTGGGCTGCGTCCAGGAGGCAGCCCTGTCCAGGGGCCCCGGGGAGGTGTGGCTGAAGGGACCATGTGCACAGGGCCCCCAGAGGGCTCTTGAGAGTCAGGCACCCTGTTGTTCCTTAGCTCTGGTCCAAGAACTCCCATCCCTGGTGGTCACCAGGACCCGGGCTGGGGAGGGCAGAGAACCCTGCTCAAGGACTCGGAACTTACAGGTAGGAAAGGTCACACTGATACCCTAAGAGTCAGAGCCCTGCCTGCCAGGCCAGGACTCTTGGGGACCCCCTGGGCGGTGAGTGCTCCTCAGACCTCCTACTGCCCCCATCCTCCCCACAGCTCCTCCTGCCCAGTCATGGAGGTTGCAACCCGCCACTCCCAATGTCATCTGGTTTTATGCAGATTGGAGGAGGACTGGCATCTGCTTCTGGGGTCCCTCAGGGTTGCGGGGGGGGGGGCAGAGAAGGGAGGTGTTGAGGGCCCAGGCCAGGTGACGAAGGGGCAGAGTGGTGGGCGAGCTCGGGAGCCGTCTTAGGGGTTCAGGGCGCCCCACCTCGTGCAGGTGGTGCTGCAGCTTGTGCCTTGCGTCCTCCAGCTCCTCGCAGCGGCGCCCAAAGGCCAGATTCACGGCGTCACACTGCAGCCGCAAGTCCTCGGAGGTGTCGCGAAGGATGCAGTCCACCAGCACCCGCAGGTTGGCCGAGGCCAGGCGCTCGCGCTGGGCGCGGCACAGATTGTCCTGAGTGAACTTGGCCCAGGTCTCAGGCGTGGACGCGCTGCAGGCGGGGGCAGCCAGGGGAGGGGCAGGGAGGCGTTGTAAAGGCTGGGGGCCCTGCCCCACCCCCCAGCGTCCCTCGCCTCCGTGCCCTGCCGGCGCCCCGAGCTCCTGGAGGGACCGCTCGGACTCCAGTGCACCCCGCACCACCCCACGAAGCCCAGCCCTTCAGGCTTCCTGCTTCCAAGTGCCCCCCCGCCCACAACTCGCCTGCGTCCCCCCTCCCCATACCCACACCAGGCGCCTAGTCCCCTCGTGCCCCGGGGTCCCCGTCCCCAGCACCGCCTCCTCCGAGGCCCCCTCTTCAGCACCCCGTAATCTCCCTTCTCTCCTACCCAGAACCCCGTGTCCCCTTCCCGCACCCGGGAGTTTGCTGCCATCCAGTGGCGGTGTTCGCACGCCCTCTGCCGGCCGTGAGCGGGAATACAGTCCTGACAGCGCCGGGGGCTGACCCCGCCCCCACCCTGTCCGGTCTCCGGGGGACTGGGCTCCATAGCTGTGCGCCCGCTGGGCACTTGAGGGGGTCTTGCTCACCTGCTCATCCCCGGGACAGACAGTTGCCCTAATGCCCTCGGGGTTAAGGGCCTCCGGGCCGGGCTGGGGGAAGCAGCCCCAAGCGAAGGGGAGGAGCGACCACAGCCAGGGCAAGCGCAGGGGTAGGGCTGGGGCCCACCTCTCCTGGAACGAGGTGGAGTGCGGATGAGACTGCACCTCGGTGCTCTGGCTGTGGAAGCGCCCGCAGGTCTCGTCGATGTTGTAGGCCTCCACCTTGTCTGACCAGTCCATCTCGCAGGTCTCCTTGTGCTCCCGGTTCAGCCTGGGGCAGCGCAGGGCAGGGCCTGGGTGTGTGCCCAAGGAGGGCCCTGCTGGGGACCCTCCCCGCAGCAGGCTGGGCCCCAATGCCAGCTTCAAGAGGGAGGCTCCGAGCCGGCCTGTCCCGGGCGGCCCTCCTGCTCAGCAGTGACCAGGAGCGGCTGCCCAGGCTCGGAGGCTGCGGATCAGACGTGCGGCTGGGCTCTCTGGCCACTCAGAACCCCAGGCTGGCCAAAACCTCCCCACCCAACCCTGCGCTTCCACTGTGACCTGGGACAGCCCCTTCGGGCTCTGAGCCTCAGGATCCTGTGTTCTATGCCCTGTTCCAGGACCACCTGTGAGTGGGGTCAGGAGTCCTTCGGGGGACCCACCGGATCTGGCTCACAGCTTGCATGATGGTTCTCTTCAGCAGCTCCTGAATGTTCCGGATGAGCTCCGCTTCCTGCGGGAGGAAATGCCCTGAGCACCAGAGCCGGTTCCTGGAGAGGATCCCAGCAGGCACAGCTGCTGCAGGCCTTGGTCAACCTCCCAGAAGGATCTCAGTGCCCGGCCCTGAGTCCTGGCTGTGTGCCTGGGGTCAGACCCCTCTGCTCCTCTGCAGGCCTTTTCCCGGGAAAGTGGGTTCTGACCCCTGCTCTCCCACTGGGTTTATTCTGGGCTTTTGGGCATTCTCCTTGGTGCCTTGTAAGTGGGGTGTTTTCCTCCAGGGCCTTCCATGGGCTGTTGGGAGGGTCTCTCAGTAGCAGTTCCCATGCCCCAGGCCTTAGGGGTCATCACTGCTGCTCGCTTAGTGCTCCCAGGAACGGCACCTCCCCTGGCCCCTGGACAACCCCTGAGGACTCCAACCCTAGGGGCGCAGATTCCCGCCCAGGCTGCCCCTTGGGCTCTGTGCTGGGAAAGGCTGTCCTCACACCAAGAACAGGAGGGGCACCCTGTGTTTCTTCACACTGCCTCGCTGGTTTCATTTTCTGTGTTTAGGAACAAGCCTTTTCCCTGTGATTGGGGTCTTTGCCTCAACCACTAGCTACCTCCTTGTGTGACAGGGCCCCAGTCCTGCTCCCTGCTGTCCTGTGGGTTAGCTTCTTCCTGTCTGTCAGTGTTTTCCTCACTGGGCAGGCGTCCTTGGTGTGGGCAGAGGGTTTGGGGAGCTGCAGGAGTTCTCGAAGCACTGAGAGGGTGCAGGGGGAAGGGCCTGCTGAAGGGGAAGGGAGGGAGGAGGGAAGACAGGAGGGGAGAGAGGGACTCAAGGTCCTGGTCTGAGCTTGGGGGTGTGGCAGGAGACCAGCTGCCCCCACCGACATCTTTCAGGAATGTCCACAGGCCTGCAGTGCATTCTCAGGAGGCCCCAGGCTCTGAGAGGTCAGAGAATTCTGCAGAGCCAGCAGCAGAGCTAGGACTGAGTTACCCTCTCATCCTGAGGCTGCCCCACAGACAAGCTGGGCTGGATTAGGAAGGTACAGGGGACATGGAGGAGGGGGACCTGCCGGTGCAGATCTTTGAGGCCCCTGCTGTGTGTAGGATGAATGGGAGCGGTGGCTCCCAGCCGACCCCACGACACCCGTCCACACCTGCAGTGCTGGCCCAGGACTGGGTTTCCTTTGGGGAGAGCCCTGTGGCTCAGTCCTGGGAGCTCAGGGTCAAGATGACTGTGCCAGGTCAAAGGGGTTGGAGGAGGAGAAATACCCAGAGGAGAAATAGCTGCTTGGAAGTTAGTCTGTCACTAAGGGGCCAGATTTCGGGACTCAGGGGTCCCACGTGCAGAGGGCTGGGCTCCCGCAAGCCACGTGGCTTGTCCACATGAACTGCCAGGGCCCCTCCTCTCTATGCCCACAAGTCCTGGCCAACCCAGGCTACTGGCACCTTCAGCAGCTCCGTCTCCACGTGGTCGCGCACGAGGTTAGGGTGCTGGCGGCGCTCGCGGCACTGCAAGTTGTCAGTGGCGATGGAGAAGGGCACCTCCGTGGCGTCCAGTGCGCGCTCCAGCCGCTGCTTCTGGGCCAGCAGCAGGTCGGTCTCCGCGGCCAGCGCCTCCACCTCGCGCTGCAGCTCCGACTTCCAGCCGTGCGTGTCCTGCAGCCGCTCGCCCACCCTGCGCGTGGAGTCTTGCTGCGTGCGCTGCGCCAGAGCCTGGGTCTCCGCCGCCAGCTGCTGGCTCTCGTGCCGCTGCCGCTCGGACTGGTCGCGGTCGGCAAAGGCCTGGTGGTAGCGCGCGTGGCAGTTCTGGAACCACTCCTCCAGCAGGTATTTGGCGGTGCGGAAGCCGGAGGTGGCCAGGCCCGAGGACGTGTAGGCGCCCGTGTTGCGGGCCACCTCGGACAGTTTGCAAGGCAGCTCGCAGGGCGGCACCGTCTGCGGGGCCGGCTCTTTGGTCAGCAGCACGTCCGTCTGCGCCATGGTGCCCGCCGTCTACCAGGGCCAGGGGAGTGAGGGGTGTGGTCAGCTGGTCGCGGTCAGCCCCGTGAGGTCAGCGGGGCAGCTCCAGCGGCTCAGTCCCAGAGCAGGACGCGGCTCCCAGTCGCCTGGGTGACACTGTACACCAAGATCTTCCTGTTGCTGAGCAACGGGGATCTCTCCTCCAGTGGCTGGGGGAGGGGGCATTCTATGGGACAAGAAGAACTGCCCTCTTAAAGGGCCAGGCAGCCCAAGCCCTGCCCTCCCTGTCCCCACCTCATGCCATCAGCAGTGGCCAAGGGTTCCTGTCACTTAGAGGATCCTGGGACCAGCCTGTTTCCAGCCTCTGTGTCCCACCCTTAGGGTTGAGGGTGTGGGTGGAGACCTGCTGCCCTGGCCCCTTCCTGGGTTCATTCATTTGTTGTTTCTGGTTTGCCCTCTGATCTCGTCCTGTGCGGAGCTCCGTGGACAAGACAGAGGAGGCTCTGCCCACCTGCCTCCGGGCAGAGGGGTGTGGCTGTCGCGCGGATGTTGGGGGTGCTGGCTGATAGTGTTACCTGATGTCTACAGCCCTACAAGTAGCTGCTCTTCCAGCTTGGTAGCACAGGGAGAGTCCAGGCCAGGCCCCCTCAGGGACAGTCTGAGGCAGCCTGAGGCCTTTCCTGCAGGGACTCTGCTCCATTTACTCCTGGACCTACTGCCTGAGAGCCAGGCCCGAGGCCTCCTCCTTCCACGTCCCAGCCAGGGCCCCCTCAGGCAGGGCACAGCGGAGAGGGAGTGTGAGTGTACTTTTCGCTGGGGAGTTGAATTCAGCCTCTGGGTGGGTGTCCAGTGTCAGACCCCGAAATCTGCCCCACAGCGGGGAGGCAGGTCCTGTGCTGCGGGGGCCACACTCAAAGCCACCCAAGGCCAGGCCGCCTGACAGAGGCTGAATGGGCAGGAAGCGCCGCAAGACACACCAGAGTCCCCCAGTCCTGGGGCCAGGGGAACCCCAGCCCAGGTTCAATGCCCCACGGGGCATTGGCCTGGCTGTGAAAAGCCTGTGGCTCCTGGCTCGGCCTCCCCTGAGCCTGCCTGGCACACTCAGTCCTAGGGACCCCCAGTCCCACAAGCCCCAGCTTCCTTGGGAACCCCCCACCCCAGAGTCCTCACCAGGAAGTCCATGACCCTCCTATAGCAGAGCCCCCTGGGCCCTGCCCCCTCCACCTCCACTTCCACCTCCTCTCCCACCATAGCCCCTGCCCGCACATCAGCCACAGGTGGTGGGTGGGCCACTCCCACTACCACACCCAGGGTCTCCCTAGTCCCCACTGCACCCCTACCTTATCCCGCTCCTGGGACACTCCCACCACCCAGCCCAGCGTCTCTCCAGCCCCACCATGTATCTATCAGTGCCCTCCTCCTGGACCTGACCTCCCAGGGCCCTGACCTCTCCTGCCACCAGAACCCTGACTCCATGCTCCTGTCACCACAGTGCGCCTGGCCTGACACAGCCTTCTGATGGGGCTTTGAGGACAGCAGCCCTGAGATTTAGCCCAACCCAGGCTGAGCCAGAACCTGTGGTATGCGGCCTGGGAATCTATTCTCACTGCCTGACAAGATTGGGAGGAGCTGATGTGGCCTGCGAAATGTCCTTGAGGTGTGTTGTGACTCAGTTTCCCCAGATGGCAGTAGGCTGTAACCCACACAGGATAAAATGCCTGGCTCCACCTTTTGTCTGGAACCTGCATTCACTGGGCACTGCCCTATAGGAAGAGCAGAGCAGAACTGCCTGTGTTTGTTTCCTGACCTGCAGCCCCAGGAACCTGAGGGATCACCTGAGCCAAGAAGGAGAACTCTGGGCCTGACCCCAGCTCTGGAAATGGGCGACCTCTCAGCCTTCGATTCCAAGTGCCCTGAAGTCATCAGCACGGGTGCTGCCTGCTTGGAGATCCCAGGCTAAGGGGACGCAGATTCACCTGGTGACCGCAGTTGGCTCTGCAGGCTGACCAACAGGATTTGACCAAGCACCCATCAGAGATGGGAGAGTGGGCCCTCGCCCCTGCCAGCTGCAAACTCCCAAAGCCCCCAGCTCTCTCATGGGGTGAAGATAACCTGAAGGACACTCCAGTGTGCTCTCACCTCTGGGGCCTGCCAGCCAAAGAGTGGGACCCTCAGGCTACATATGTCTTGCTTGGTTTCAGCTTCAGGGACCCCAGGGTGCTGGCAGCTCCCTGAGACCTGGGTCGGGGGTGTCCATTAGAGCACCTTGGTCAGGACCCAGAGATGGGGAGGGCAGGGCTAAGAGAACCCCGGGCAGTCGGCATCTCCAAAAAGCAGGGGGTGGAGCATGGCTCTATGATGGCTGTCCCTGTGACAGGGACAAGTCGGGGGGGCAGGGCAGAGGGTCTCAGGGGCAGACAAGGCCATCAAAGGGCACCTTGGACACTGGATGACCCTGGGAAGGCCCGTGAACCCCATCCGGATTCACCCAGGGCCAGAGACCTTGGTTTACCCTGCAGGCCTGGGGACTCGGGTACTTAGGAAACTACTGTACTCTTTTGGCATAGCTGTATGATTTTACCTTCCCACCAATAATATGTGAAATCTCCAGTTTTTACTCGTGCTCATCAGCGTTTGATGTTTTATTATTATTTTGGCCATTCTGATATATATGTATTAATACATATGTATGCATTAATATATATATTAATAAGCCATTGTCTTAATTTGCAAATTGCTAATGACTAATGATATTGAACATTCTTTCCTGTTCATAATTAACTACCATCTGTATTCCTTTTCACATATCATTAGCCCAACCATGAAAAAGCAAAGCAAAACATGTTTTTAACCTGTCTGTACAATTTTTAGACAATATTCAAAGGAAAAGGTGTTTAATTAGAACAATGAAAACAATGAGACATTAACTTCCAGCTTAAACAGAATTGATCGTGTGCACAAAAATGGTCAACATATTGGACTTCCTTGGCAACAGAAGAAAGGGGAAGACTATATTCTCCGAAACAGTGTTCATCCTTCGTCTTTGGTTTGACTGTTTATTTCTTATGTGTATGACTTTGAAGAAATACATCAAAGATAGAACTTTCTGGTGTTTGCTTTGATATTATCCTTGCAAACAGAAAAGTTAGCATGCATTTCTGTGTAAAACTGGTCAAAGATGGCCTAGGAATGAGATTACATTCTACTTTTACTTTACAACATACTGTAAGTGTTTCGTAACAGTGAAGGCATTGGCACCGATGCGGACTTCTTATCCCTACTTAGGAGTTGGTGGGTGTGAGGCTTAGGAGTTATGTGCTCATTATCATAAAACAAATATATGACGCATTTATATGAAAACCCAGTATTTCTGGTTTCAAATTCAGGACTCTGCCCTTTGCTTGAGATATTTTTAAGTTTGCAGGTTAGAGACATTTTACTGTAAACTTCAATGAAATATCACAGTTGAACTCTTGACTATGTTGAAATCACAAAAAGACTTTAATCTGCACTCAGTTCTTTTAACTAAAATCTTCAGTTTGAATTAATTTCATTTGAAGAACATCCCTAGAAACTTTAGAGGGAAAAAGACTTTACTTGCAGAATACAATCTGCATTTGCTTTGACAACGGTTAGTTCACATATGTAAGATAAGTCTACCTTTCTGTGTGCATAATTAAGACGTGACAGTAGCGTGGTAATGACCTCTTAATTAAAACAATTAGGATGGTAGTGGATCATGGTGCAATGTACCTTAAAAGCCATGAGCAGAACACATCACAAGCTATCATACAATAAATAGTCATTGGGTTTAAAGTAATTTCCACACAGAAAAACACAAAACATATTTTAGCCCTTTAAATGAAAACTTCGTTCAACCAATATTGGTCTTCCTGTAGATGCATTTAGGAAACAAAAAACCCACAAAACATATAGTTTGCCTGCTTCTCAAAACTTGGTGCACAACTCATTGTGGGACTTTCATACACGAGGACCTATTATTAAAACAATTAATTCCCTGGTGAAAACCATTTATTCGTCTGGAGTGTCATCTGATGTGTCTGTTGTAGGAAGCTGTGGCAGTGGCGGGTGGTTCAGGGGGACAGATCCTGCCCACGTCAGTCTGTCCATCAGTGGGCTAGTGTCTGTCTGGCTGCACCTGAGAAGGGAATACAGGAGTTACAGCATTAGCACAGGCTTCAAAATAGCATAATCTTGGATTCAAAATTCCATTTTGGTATTTATTTCCAGGTAAGTTTGTGTAGCATGCTTAATTTTTCTGAGGCTCAATTTTAGTTACGGTAAGCTTATATCTGCCCAAAAGACAAGGGCACATCCCAGTTTTGTGTGCTTTAAAGCTATACTTTTGGAAATGAACTTTAAGGAAAAGAATATAAAATAAGAACAAATAGAAGCTTTTATTTAAAAATAATTTATAGTAAAGTATAAATTTAAAGAATCTGACAATCCCACATACCTCACAAAACCCAAACTCTTTATTAACTACCTGACATATTATTTATGATATATTTTCTTACTGGAAAAAATATTTCCTATTGCTTTGACTGTATGTTCTTTTATCACTCCTTTATATTACAATACTTTTATAATATTATTTTCTCTGGAGAATAGAAATAAATACAATTAAGTTTTTCAACTGACATGGTTGATTATTTTTAAGTGAATAATGATAATTTAGAGAATTTGTCTTCAGTTTCACAAATGAGTATTGAGCTCATGTGAATTTCAAATATTGTTTTCAGACATGGGAAATTCCCATGAAGTTTCTTTTGTGTATAAGAGGGATATTTCAGGTATTCTCCCTATGGCAATGTGGCAGGTCTGTGCAACACACAAATTTTAATAAATCCTATTTCACATGAATCATTTTTAAAAATAGACAGTGTTTGTGTAGTCTCATATATTATTCTGCATTTGCCTTTTGGAAAGAAATTCTGTTGTAATTAGGTACTGATGAGAACAGAATATTCTGCTTGCACATTCATACTTCTAATGACAGTGATAATTTTCCAATAACAACAAAAAATCTTTTTAGCTTTGTGCTTTGCAAACCTCCACTATCACAAAATTGTGCTTCTGCATGTCCTGCAATGCATTTACACAGCACTATGACCCATGACCCTAAGCCTCTGTGTCATGATGACAGGTGACTCAACACAATGACCCTCAGCCTACTCACCCTTCCTCACAGCAGGTTCAAGTGTCTTCATGCTCCATGAAAGCGATGCACCCACGAAATCCAAATTCTATTCTTCTTCAACTCAATGCCTGTGAATCAGATTCAAAATTGTCCATGGCCACTCCATTGTTTCCTGGCACCAGGAGAGATGTGACAGAGGTGACGTTATTGTTTAAAGGGGTATCAGTCTTAACTAACTGCAGCTAAGGGATCTTAATTGTATAAATTTGACATATAGCCATAGGAACGATGGCTGTAGTCTCACCACTGGAAGAGGCTGTACAATCAAAGGACTGTGAAGCTTAGGACTCACCATATTCACGGGAAATTTGCCTCTAGTTCAATGTTTACTAAATACGTAAAGAATGTAGTCAATTATGTATTTAGCGCTATCTCTACAACATCTACCAAAATCTAATACCAAAAGAAAAAGAATACCACTTATACATTTTTTTTTTTTTTTGAGACGGAGTTTCACTCTCGTGACCCGGGCTGGAGTGTGATGGCGTGATCTCGGCTCACCGCAACTTCAGTCTCCTGAGTTCAGGCAATTCTCCTGCCTCAGCCTTCTGAGTAGCTGGGATTAAAGGCACGTGCCACCATGCCCAGCTAATTTTTTGTATTTTTAGTAGAGACAGGGTTTCACCATGTTGACCAGGATGGTCTCCATCTCTTGATCTCATGATTCACCCACTTTGGCCTCCCAAAGTGCTGGGCACTTATACATTTTTATATTTTGAATTCAGACATGTGAATTAGAAACAAGGTTCTTAATAAGATATTTTTGATCTCCATCCTCAGCAAAGAATTTATCAAAATTGTGTGTTTTTTTTAAGTAGAGGAGTAACACTGTATTAACATGCCACTATATATGTTCTAACAAAAACTTCAATTTAACAATTAAATGTATGTGCAGAGAGAAAGAGAGAGATCTCTGGTGTCTCTTCCTTTCAGATGAGGGCCCCAGTCCTAACAGATGAGGGCCTCATGCTTCCGCCTCCATTTAACCTTTATCTTCTTAAAAGCTCCTTCTCCAAATACGGTCACACTGCGGATAGGGCTTCGAGTTAGGAATTCTGTGGGGACATAATTCTGTCCGTAACAGACACTGATGTCATGAGCCCAGATTGCTAGTGAATCTGTTCATGTTGCAATTATTTTGCTTCACAATTTTAGATAATGAATACTTGCATAATAAATATCCACTGCATTCCAATTTTTTCAACACTTTTTATGTGCATGGATTCTAAACAAAACTTCAGTGTAATTCTTATGTCTGTTCCACCATAGATAATGTGTTTCTCCTTCTGCCTTATTTAGATATTTTATCTTTGTTATAGCTTTTCTACAGTTTGAATATGATATTCCTGGTATATTTTTAAAATATTCATGCAGCTTGGTGTTCTCTGAGCTTTCTAGACTTGTAATTTGGTGTCTCATTAATTTGTTTTTTTATTTTAATGAAAAAATGAACTTTATAGATTTTACATCTCAAGCTCCCAAACTTTCACTTATTTTAAAAATGAGAGGCAAGACGCCCTAACCCCCAGGATTTCAGTCCTGAATGCAATAGTACCAGATTTGTAAGTTACATAAGTGAGCTGCATAAACACTACTACCTTCAAGTGCACCCCAAAACATACGGTCATACCTGGATTGTTTAACCACAGTGTCATAGCAATAAACATCGAAGTATCTGACATATATTTGTCCATTAAAGGTAAACATAATTCTATGAGTATCAAATTACATTCCTCATTTGCCTTTTATGATCTAAATTGGAAACTGAAAACCGGGAAGAATGTAGAGGTAAGTACTGAAAACGCTCCGCTTACTGCGCACAGGCACATCATGACAAAGAATGCTACAAGTGGCTCCCTCAGAAGTAATAATTGAAAATTGAAAATATTTCAGCAGAAAAGTTAAGGCTTTTAGTGTGAGAAGCATGGCAAATGACATATTCACTTAACCGTTAACTATCTAGCAAATTATAGATGTTGAGCGATTAGTGACCCACATTTCACCAAAACCTTCCGTGCAAGTGTCTACTCTCAACATTTTACCAGAACATTCCTGTTCTGAAGTGTCTCCCTTTAGACTCACTTTAGCTTTACATACCTATAAAACCTAAGATTCCTCAATGGGAGTTTATAGCTTATTCTGTACTAGATACACGTAATATATATAGATTTAGAACAAATGGGTGCTTTTCACCCTCAAAGAATGTATTTTAATTTACACAAAATTAGATTTTTTTTACCCATATGTATGCATAAAAGTGTTTTCCAAATGCACAGAGTCTATATCCATTTTCCTAAAGCGAAGATAGTGGCACATGGTGGATAATAGCTTATAGTTTTATGCATTTTAACCTATCTTTGAACAAACTCAATTGCCATTTAGACAGAGATGTGACGAGCTTGTTACAAATTTCTATGACTTGGAAAATTAAAGATCTAAAAGCCCTAAATCTTGTAGCTCTGGGCAATTTGCTCATGGGTTCATTCATCCTTTGGGCTGTGAACTCCCTTATCCTGCAGGCTGTAGGTATTTTCAGCAAATATGAGACTCAAAAGACTAAGGAAGAAGGGCTTGTTTAAATTAGTTCCCCTAAAAGTTGTTTCTAATCTTGCAATGAACATATTTAATGTACTTGTGAATTAAATTTTAAAGTAATTATAAGGGGAGATGAGGTTTTAGTGAGCTGAGACCGAGTCATTGCACTCTAGCCTGGGAAACAAGAGTGAAACTCCGTCAGAAAGAGAGAGAGAGAGAGATTGAGAGAGAGAGAGAGAGAGAGAAGGGAAGGAAGGAAGAGAAAGAAAAGAAAGAAGGAAGGAAAGAAAGAAAGAAATTGTGTCCTTGTACTCCAGCCTGAGAGATAACAGTGAAACTCGAAAGAAAGAAGAAAGGAAGACAGAAAGAAAGAAAGTAAGAAATCGTGCCATTGCACTCCAGCCTGGGAGGTAAGAGCAGAACTTGAAAGAAACGAAGAAAGAAAGAAAGAGAGAGAAAGAGAGGAAGAGAGAGAGAAAAGGAGGGAGAGAGAGAGGGAGGGAGGAAGAGAAAGAGAAAGAGAGAAAGGAAGAGAGAAAGAGGCAATTTATATTGCCCAGTACAAAAACCACTATTCTGTTCTTTTAACATGTATATATATAATAGGTCATTAAATTTAATTACAGCATATTCACTGGTTACTTAATAAAACATGAAGTTTTAAGTATTTTATAAGATATGCAAAATATAAATATTTCACAGGTAAAAACAATGAGTTTTAGGATGAATTTCACTAGTGCCTATGCATGCACTACATGTTATTTACATCTAAATTATGTACCTGCTGCTGGGGACAACTGTATCCCCACATAGCGAAAGAACCGATGTTGAGTTGCCTCGAAAGAATATGTGCTCATCTACATGAATTCATGATATTCAGAAAACATGATCCCCTTTCAACAGTTCAGGATATCTTATTAGTGACTTGAAAGGTCTACGGTTACATAGTTTTCCAGTTTAATCCTAAGTGCAACGCCTGCACGATGACTGCCCTGTGACTGTTAATTATAATTACACTTCCTCAACTACATTGACACATGAGTGACAACCGTGAATGCAAATGAAAGTTTGAGACTTTGTGTCATTGTGCCTTATTTTCTCTAGCTATGTCAAATTATTTCATTCATTAATATGTGGAATGGGTGGAAATAAATATGGCTGAAACCAAAATGTGAATCAAGTCCATTGTTGTTATGCCAGTAACCTTAAGCTCCAAAGAAAAAGAACACTAAATGCAGTGATTTATAGAAAGCAAGCAAGAGTTAAAGAGTGAAGCCAGTTCAAAGAGCTGGGAGCAGAGCACAACGTCATGTGCAATTACTTAGAGAATAATATATAATAGAGATACTGCTGACTTACTACGAAGGCAATGAGAACATGAACCATACATGAATGTGGCAAGTTTATCATAATGTCAACAGACTTAACATGTTCATAGAGAATACAGTGAAAGTGAGAGTAAGCTCTGAACATTTTTCAGAAAACACATGTAAATGATTTTAGAGTAGATCCAAACGCAGAGAGGAGGAAGGACATGTACAAAGACTAGCTGAGGGGTGAA